AATCGGAATTGAAAAAAGGTTTCGGAATATTTCTGGAATTTCACTGGAAAGCCAAAGAAATTATTTACTTTTGCCATTTTTGTTGCATTTCTTTCTTTGAATCTTTTTATTTGTATTTTTCTTGATTCCAATGACTAAATAAATGACATAGTAAAGCATTTACACCCCTTTTGCCGGTACATATACAGATATATACATGTATATATAGACCTTGGCCTATCGTGATAAGCTTAACACCAGGGTATTGCAAACACTAGCATCAAGATAATACGCCAATGGATGCCCTTTAATGGAATAAACTTCTCCGATACGATTTGAAGTTATATATTTGAATATAACTTCCTCCTCTGTTGTTTTTTGGGTCACAACACCCGACTACAAAAATGCAACTTTATATTGAATAAAAACACAAATGATAACACTCTTCCGGCGTGACCTTAGGTATTAACTAATAGGTACTAACCACGACACTCTCTTACATAGCTAATTCAGTGTACAGGACAACCGCAATTGTCGACATCTGGATTCCGTAGTACTATCTTGCAGTTCTAATGGGTTATCACAAGTGAAACCACATTTCGTACAAAGACTTTAATCGGTTTTTACGACAGACATATTGTAGTTCGGGACTATTATTGTTTAGGATAAACTTGTGTTAATTGTGAACTTAAATAAGATTTGTGAATTTGAAGACCATTATTGAGTTATTCAAACAATCATCAATATATTTTTCATTCATTCTGAAAGATTATGTTCACGAAAATGCAAGTTCATCATAATAATAAGGATTTATGATGCTTCTTAATATTGTTTGAGAATTCTCATTCAAAATTATTTGAAAACATTTTCCATTTATATCAGATTATGAATAGAGCTTTAAAATTTTTTTCAAATAATCTATTTTAATATAAATAGAAATTAGGATATTTCTTATGTTTTGGATAGATATTTACATATAAGAACTATTTTCTCATATAAGAAATTGGTAAGGAATGTTTCTGAAATGACATGAGAGAAGGCCAACGATTGTTTTTGGTCCTTCTGTTAGTATGGTAGCTATACCATAAATCAGATGGAAAGATTTTGACCCATATCTATGAACCGATTACACGCAGTAGTGATAAGGCGACAAGAGAAAGGATATGATATGAATCATATATTGCTTATGTTATGTTTTTATTAATAGTTATTAGTATTAGGATTTAGTTATCCTTTTTTTCAAATTAAATTATCTGCGACAAAGTTGCAGATATTGAAGGAATGTTTGCAACAAAACTACTTACGTTTGGATTACCTTGTGTTTAAATGTACTCTACACTGAGAATTCTCCTGCCATGCTCTTTGTCTGACAAGTGATTTATCAACATATTATATATATTGAATATAGAGCAACTTGTGAAAATCTCAAACACTTTTTATATTCCTCAACTCTTCGAAATTTACTTTCAGGCTATTTTCTTCTTTTTTGTTTACATTCTTCTTTTCATTATCGTACTTCTATATTTAAAATCTTATACTATTTTTTATGCCTAACTCTCAATTTAGCATAGTTGCGACAAAGTTGCAAGTAATGAAAGTATGGTTGCGACAAAGTTGCAAGTAATGAAAGTATGATTGCAACAGAATTCTATACGTTGGAATTTCTACTTGCTCCATTCCAATATTCTCTGCGAGTACTCGACCAACTTTATAAATTAACATCGTGCTTATTTCCACTTTAATAGTTCTTTATTCTTTTTTCGACATTTTAAAAATTATTATTTTTTTATTCTTGTTTAACATTATTGGTGTTTTTTTCCACAGTTTATTCTTGTCTTAACATTTAACATATAAACACAAAGGAAAGAAATTTACTATAGTTTTCAAGCCAACAACGCTGACAGTTTCGACAATCCATTGTTATTAAAAAAATAAAGTGAAAGTTTTCATTTAAAGTCCACGTACTTTTTGGTTTTGGCACCACTTTTTTCCGGTACTTTTTGGAATACTTTAACACTTCTTTGGTTCATTTTCCACAACCTACCGTATTGCTCAAAGCGAATGCTTAGTGCTCTGCCTTGAGAACACAATGTACAAAGACAAAACCACATCTTTGCACCAACAACGTTGCTGTCTTGTGTCCTCTACATATATGTACATAAGTGTAAGTGTACATAGCTATGTATGGGATTTATTCAACACAGACTACACTATTCAAATTACCGGTTGTATGGAAGAACATTTTAAAATTTCACAGCTCGTTCTATAAAAATTTTTATTTTATTTTTTAAAGTCGTTCGATCCAATTGATCCCAGTGCCTTCCCTCCCCAATTTTACAACTTCAATTTTATGTTCATTTATTTATGTAAAAAAAAAAATTTTTTATCACTAAAATTGAATTTATGTGATTTTTATTGCTTTGCATACGTATTCCCTATGCCAATATTTTTCCCAACCACCCAACATACACACCTGCTTTAAGTACTTCAATTACTGCAAACTTCTCCCCTATTCCCCCTATTCGGTATACCGTATTTCCTCCCTTTACGCTTTATTGTCTTCCAAAAATATTGCAATAAAATTTTTGTCTTCGCCATAGAAGCAGTAAATCCAGAGTAGAAGCAGCTCCACTCTGCTCTGCTCGGTTTGGCTCGGTTCGGCTCAGTGCGACTCAAATTAAATTGGATCGAATCGAGTCGCATCGAATCAAAAATTTCAAATTATTTCAATAAAACAAAAGACAATAAAACTTCGAACTTTGTTATTTAAAATTTAATATTTAAATTACAAAAATTTCAATCTTTTCATTTCAAAAATTTCCTCTTTCTTTGACATCATTTCGGTCAGCACAAGCAGTCGGAGCAACTTTTTCCACTCATCCCTAGAGAAGTGGGCTGTGAGGCGTTTACCTCGATTATACAAAATTTTTCCAAATATAAAATTAAATTTTGTTGATATTAATTTTAAATATAAATAATTCCATATAGACTAGTAACTCATTTACACGTACAAGTATATGTGGTAGTGTGACTGCTGCCAGTAGACAGACGTCATGAAAGAAATACGCCTTGAGTCCTAAAGTCCTGAAAACTCAGCTACAAAATAAATAAATAAAAAAAAGTATAATAAAAATTCTAAATAAAATAAAATATTATTTTTTGATTCTAATTGTTTCATGCCTTCAATTTGTTGAGTATTGTTCCCTGCCCCCACATACACCCGCTCATTTGCCTAACCGACCAACTGTCTGTTTGTCTTATACACCATAAACATAGAAATAATTTTGTATGGATATTGCATAAGCGTGTACCTTTACGACCACATGCATACGAACTCCCCCTCCTCCTGCCATTAAAAGAAGGCCATAATTTTTCTATTTGTTGTTTTTTTTTGTGTTTTTTTTTTTGCTGTGTGGTTTTTTATGGTTTTTCCTCAACTTCACAATGGGCGGTGTTGTTGTTATTGTTGTACGGTTAGGTATTATATATATTCAATATAATCATGTTAAGTCGTTGTGTTGCGATAAAATGTGACTGCATGAAAGTCGACGTCGGAGTCACAAATGAACTTGAAGTACGAGTTGTGAGGGCAGCATGGAAGAACGCGACAGTGCCAAAGGATAATAGTATAGCGAAAAGACTCCTCTCTTATGCAAAATCAAAGTGGGTATTAAGGAAATTATTTCATTGCCTCCACGTTTTTATAAGAAACACAGCAGAAACGCACATAACAACTACGGTACTCAAGTCAGTTACTCATTCCCATACCCATACCCATTCCCACCCTCGCAATAGACCCGTGAAATAATCAAGCATATGGCGTATTAGCAACCGTTCATGTCAGCGGCATATCCTTGCTGAGCGTCACATGTAAAAATTCACATATTTAAACAGTTCAAAACTAAATAGCGCCACCACCCGCCATTAACCATTTCTCATTTTATATATTTTATATGCGCACATAATATATCTATTATAAAACCCGCACAAACACACCCACGCCTACATATCGAAATTCCGATAAGCCAAAAAGTGAGAAAAAAATCCGTTGGACTGAATTTGATATTTTTACAAATAATAATCATTTTCAACTTCGGTAATTAATTATTCAGCAGGCGGGAGTTTCGATTGCCGCAATTTGAACCGTTTCTCATGCCCAATAATCGCTTTCCGATATACGTGGCGACCGTGCATGTCAATATGGGTGAGTTGTTGGTATACGACTGAGGTGAGTTCAATTTATGTGTCATTTGGTAAAGTGAAGCAGAACAGATTTAGGGAGATAAGAGAATTTGGTAGCACGACACCGTTAATGATTATAACCATGTCACGACCTTTACCTTTGCTGCGAAACAGAATAACTCAATTAATACAATTGTTTCACAATGAAGAGACAATGCGTTCGCAAAGAATCCATTCGAATGGTATTTGGTAGAATAACGCGACTTATGTTTTTAACACCATCCACCCATAGTATAAATGTATGCTATACTTTAACTAGAAAATATGTCTACAAATATCAAAATAGAAGATCTTAAGGTATTAGGATGATTCTATTGATTCACATAGATATAGTCTTTGTTCACACAGAGTATACTCTTGTATACTTTATAGAAGTACATAAGAAGGATTATTGTTCGCAAAACACATGTATAGGTACACCAATGCACATCCGTGGGTGCACTTATCTAAATCCCTAAATCCTGATACCCTCTTCATTAAATATTAGTAAAATGCTGATTTTCGCCCATAACCAATGGAGCAAATACCATTTGTAATGTAGTGAAGTGGTAATGGTATTTACTGCACTTTAAATATCTTTTAGGGTTAATGGAGCCTCAAGTTACGTTTTTTTTACTTTCCCGCGAAAATTCATCTCAATTATTTTTAAAAAGCGAATAATTTTATATTATTGAACAAATTAAGTTTAATATGCTTTATTAAATACATTAATTACTATTAGTTTAATTATAAATAAATTAAATTAAATTAAATTGATAATAAGCTGCATTTTTTTTTAGCTGCTCCAGTAAGTTTATGAATCGATGCAGGAGTTGAAAAAGGAAAAAAATTGAACAACGTTAAAATCAATGTGAACCTATCCAAAACCCGCAGCTTTTGAGTGTTGGCATTTGATTTCATTGGTATGAAAATCAATTATTAACCAATAAACTGAAATTAATTGAAAATATTAATAATCACATAATATCGCGTGTTAAACACTGAACTCTAGTCCGCAAATTTTCCAACGGACTGCATAAATAATCGCTCGCTAAATTATCGTCAATTTTCGCAGGCTCCAAGGATCCGAAATCGGAAAACTGAAATCTAAAATCTAAAATCTGCAAACGCGGTAATTTGCAGCACAAATACCAGTGTTGCCCATAAAAGCTTAATGATACAAATTAAAAACTTAGCAATTTAATCAATTATTCAGTAAATACGCAAAAATTAAAGTGCATAATATCAATTCGTTTGAAAGCGTTAACCAAATAAAATATGCAAAAATGAAGAAGGCCAAGGGCACAGTAAATCCAGTGGTGGTTGCGGAGTTGGACAAAAAAACCAACAACCACAATAATCGCAACTACAACAAAATCAACAACACTAACAACACTAACAACAACAAATACAATAATAATTTAGGCAATGGCCGTAATGAAATTACTGCTATCAATAATAATAAAAATAATAACAACAACAACAACAACAATGAGAAAATAATTTTGAATAATAACAACAACAATAAGAACAAGAACAACAACCATGATAAATATAATACCATCAAAACTAATAATAATAATGCAAACAACAGCAACAACAACAATATTAAAATGAATATGAGTTCCAACAACAACAACAACAACAACAACAACAACAACAATAATAATAATAACAACAACTGTAATGGTATCAAAGTTAATATGAACAATAACAACAACAACAACAACAACAACAACAAAACCATAATGAATAATAATAACAATAAGAATAAAAATAATAACAACAACACCAACAACAAAACCAACTTCAATAATAACAACAACAACAATAATAAGAATAAAACCAATAACAACAACACCAATATTGGTGGTAATGGGTTACATACCAATACCAATACAATTAACAACAACAATAATAATAATAATAACAACAACAACAACAACAACAACAATGCCAATAATAATCTGGAAAAAATCAAGAAACTAAAGGCCAGAAACAAGCAAATCTCCTACTTCGTACGAATTAGTAACTTCGCTGATAAGATTGCTCAGAGCACAAGGTAAGTGGATTAATCGATTTTACTTATATTCTTAGTTCTTAGTTTATAGATTGGATCTTATAATAAACAATTACGAAAAGATGAGAAGATTCTATAGCACTTCCGTATAGTTATTAAGCTTGTGGTAAGTTTGTTGCCAGGTCACAACCGATTAGTAAACTATACTAGAAGATTGCATCATCCATTTAATCATTCCTCTCGCAGTTGTAGAGAGCACGATGACAGTACCTCACACGTGCTTGTTACTATTCAACATAAGCGCTTCGTCATGAAACCACTTTGTGGGCTATCTTTTTTGAAGATTTTGACCAACTTCAGGACTTTCGTCTAAACAATATTTTCGGCTATAGGTTTTTAAACTCTAAGTTTCTTATGCGTCAACACAATACGTCAACAGATCTAAATGGACTTTTATGATCGCCGGTATAATCTAACCCAACCTAAATAGAATCATTTTGTCGCATAATCTTATGTGATAATTTTATTAATTGCAGACTTCTCTTTTAGTCATGTGCACTTTAATAATGGATGCTAAATTTGAAACATCTATTCGAGAACAGGTCTTTATAAAGTTCAATAAACACACAATGTTTGATGAACATCAATCAATTTCTAACTAATTCCTAATTTTTTTGTCGACCATAGTTCCTTATGATAAAAAGAAACTAGAAGTGTTTGAATAGTAATGAAAAAACTACAACAAAAATTTTGATTAATTTATTGAAATTTGGCTGATCATACAACGCTATTTCAAATATTGCCAAGTACTTATCCATCTGTGATCTTAGGAAATATTCTTATTTTTATTTAATTAGTTAATAGTCAGTATATAATTTGTTGGACTGCAAGTGTCAGGCTTATAACTTATACCCGTCAAATAAAAAACGATGACAAATCATGTTTTTCGACAAGTAGCCAAGGCTGCACGAATTTCTATAAATTTATTAAAGTTTTTGTTGTTGTTTTTGTTGTCTTTTTTAATGTTCGGACTCATCAATCAATTCCTTTTTAATTTAGTGAAAATAATACTAATAGGTCCTTTTACTATAGCTTTTAACAAGAATTTAAAAAAAGATTTTATAAAGATGTTTTCAAAAAGTAGTGAACTACAACAACAAAAATTGATTTTTGATTGATTTTTGGGCTAACCATACAGCTGTTTCGAATATTGCCAAACACCCATCATCAGTGGTCTTGAAAATAATTCTTGTATTTAATTATTCGTAAATAATATTTTGAAACTGCAAGTACCAGGAATCGAACTCGTGTCCTGCCAAATTTGCAGCTCAAAGTCAGACCATCTTAACCAACTGACCCAAGCCGTACTTGACTTTTATGTTCGCACATAAAAAATTTTGTAATATTTTATAGATTGATTAAGGAATCTCGGAGTTTCTTTCAGGGTTATAGTAAGATAATTTTTTTTATTCCCTTTTTGTAAAATATAACTCAATTTCTTTCCTAAAAAACCTCAGGTATATGTCTACATCTAGATATATATTATTTCATATATATATATAACCCATAATACATGTACTTTTTTTCACAATGCTATAAAATTCCCAAAACTTCGAAGATTTCGAAATATCTAAAGTCCTCCAAAGTTCTGAAGCTACGTAGAAACTTCAGATAGCATCGAAGTAGCAAATGGAATAATTTTTCACCGTTTATCAACAAATCCATGTATGCCACAGATAGCAACCTTGGGGGTAGATCACCGAATGCAAATAGAATTTGCACATAAGCAAATTTATACTGTCCGTTCCGGCGTGGCTCAAAGTTTTGGATTTTTATTAAATTAATTGCGTGTGCACTTTAGCACTCGGCGGACTACGTTGACAACTTTTTCAATAAGCGAGAAAAAAGTTTTTGTGATTTTCAGGCTCGAGGTGCAGAAATAAATTATTTTGTAGTCCGCAGGCAACAACGGAAACCAAAACAACAGCAAACTAAATTGCAAAAAAAAATTATACTTATTTTAAAAAGCAAAACAAAAGCCAAGAACAATGGCAAAAAATATTGCAAAATGATTTATTTTTGTATAAAATTAAAAAAAAAAGTCTTTCTCATTTTGAAAGGCTCTTAATTTGTACCGACGTCTTTAATGTGAACGGACTACTTCCTATTCCTTATATCCTTGGTAGCTTACACTAAGCTCGAGATCCTGGCGACCACAATTTGTCAATGCGTAGCACGAACGCCCATTGCCAGAGGCCAAGAACAAAAGAAATATAAATAATAAAGACAAAAAGAAAAACAAAAAACAAAAAACAAAAAACAAAAAAATACAAGCTAAAATAGAAAAAAAATTGAAAAAAATATATAAAAAAATATTTTTCACAAGTCGCTTAAGCGGAGGATGTGAACAACTTTTGTGTCGTTCCTTGTTTTGGCATATTGAAAATGGACCGAAAGATTAAAAATTCTTGAAATGTCCGGCGGAAATAATTACGCTACGCCATTTTGTACTTTTGTATAAAGCGAAAGACTGAAAAAAACACCAAATAAAAATCAAAAACAAAAAACAAAAAAAAAGTTTAGAAAAAGCAATGGAAATTGCGAAATAAATACGCAATATTCACACAATCTTATACCAAACGGCCATACGCTTCTACAAGCATACATCCAAACACACACAACTAGATGGCGGGAGGGACATTTCCGAAGTATGAAAGCAAGAAGCTGCATTCTGCAAAGCCAAACAACAACAAAAACAATTTTTACGACATGTACCGGAACATGACTAGCATAACAAATCCCACGAATTCCTAATTTCCAATGGCAGCACATTAAAGCGCACACACTCGCAAGAACGAAAGCATTAGAAAACACACACACACACACATACACACGCATACACGCATACAACGGCTAGGCGGACTGGACGCATAAACGCATGAACGTGTAAAAGTACCAACGTGAAGTGAACGAAATATTTGAAACTGCGCTGCGATTTGAAAGCGATTTAACGGCGATACAAAACGCATTAAAATACAAACGGACGAGCGGAGGAACACGTCTCTATGTCCCTCGGCATCCTTTTAGTGCTTTTAGTAAAAAGAGAAAGCAAAGATGCAAAAGTAAGAATAATTCGAACATCAATTAATAGTGGAAAATAATCAATGAAAGCTATAAAGTTTCTGATGACAGTGGCGTTTTACTTCTTCGACTGTCCGACTTTCACTATGTCAAGGACTTTCAATACCTACGCTTTTGGTGTCCAATAGAAATTGTTATGGTACGACGAGTCCGGGTGTAGATGGAAGAATGCTGTCGGAGTAGATATTGTTGGCGAAAATTGTTGGGGCTGTCAGAACTATTTCTTGCAATTTTGAGTACAAATAAATTAAATATTTTTTTAAAGTTGACTTCGAAGTCAATGCGCTACATTTTTCACACAACCAAAATTTTATGAAAGGTTTTCAATGCTAACATTTAAACGAGTTAATATGCACAGGTTGTTCTACAAACAGAAAAATTTGTCATCTATTGGTTCAAGAAACTTATTTCGAAAGCTTTAAGAATGCATTTTGAATTTTGGATATGACCATTCTTAGTAAAAACTATGGCTTTAAGTCGATTAACAAACGAATCGCAAATAAATTGATATCTCTATGAGGTACACTTGATTTCTTGTTTGCTTACGAATAGCTTATAGACTTTCCCAGTCTTTCTCAACAAGAGAAGGATATTCAGTCAAGGATAATTCATCAATAATTTTGGTGAAATGCTTTTTCTTTTCAAACCCATTACTTTTTAAATCGTTAATAAGTGTTCGTTGCATATTATTTACATGCTTAGCTGAACAGACATCTATCTACAACTGAATACCGAATATTGTACTATTTTAGGCCTTACTCTTCGAAACACTTACCACGCATATACGATTCTGTATTCCGACCAACAACATGAGACGTGACACCACAAATTTTTGTTATTACTAAATAAGATTTGAAATACATAAATTTTTTTCCTTTCAAGTTCTTCGGAAGAATGCGTTCTATAAATAATGGCTTACGATTTTCAGCTCAAAATATACTCACAAAGTACTATCGCTCTGGACAAGTACAATTTATTCATACTGACTTGTTAAGGAGAATGGGTTGAACCAATGACAGCTGGTGGTTTTCCACTTAAAACATAGAAGTTATAGCTTCATAACTGGTTATGGTTATGAAGTCTATAGTTATGAAATCCTGACAAGTAATGACTTATTCGGGAGAATGCGCTGCACTATTCGTCGTCACAAGTAATGACTTTAACGGTAAAGTGTGCTGTCCCTATGAGAAGTGTAATAATATATTTATCTTGCTTAATATATGGTTACAAAATAGTAATAGAATAATAAATAGAATAAGTAATATTTCAACTTATTCTACCGATATTGGTTTTCCGTTCAAAATAGGGCTTCATGTGCTATAAACCGAGTATAACTCGGGACACATAAACCTTTTTGAAACTGAACTATTGAAGGTAAGAAGCAAAATGGTAATTACGGTATTTCGCTTAGAATATAGTGGAGTCATATTATCTGTATATTCCATTAAGGATATATTTTTTAATTAACTTAAATGTAAATATTTTTGCATGCTTGAAAATAATATTGTGGAAAACAAATAATAATATTGCAGAGTTCGTGCCCATCGATATGACATACCCGTATTTTGAAAGAAAGTAACCCTATGCTCCACTTAGGAGAGTGGGACATCAGTAAGTAGGTAAGTAAGTAACCAGTATATCGTTAGTTTAAAGTGAAGAGGAGCTAAATTATATTTACCAATAATTATATGCATACAATCGTAAAATTATGGATCCCTGCTATTTAGAGAATTAAGAAAAAACATGACATCTGTATTTAAGATTTCAAAAAATATTAAAACCTTAAAGATTTATTAAGTTTCGCGACTCTCTTGTAAAATTGGAAAAGGTGCGCTTAGCACATTCTCACTCTAAGCCGACGATGCAATGAGCTATCAGAGCTATCAGAGAGTTGGCACTAG